TTGGGTATTTCTAATCCATCATTTTAAGCAGGATCTTCATATTGCCCTTGACATTCAGGTTTCGGGTAATCTCGTAGTGGAAAGGAAAGAGGAAAGACCTGCAGCCCCTCTTACGATGAATGCATTCGAGCTCATCTCTAAATCTCAAGGCCTTAACCTCAGTTCTCTTTTTGAGAAACAAATGGTGTGTTTCCTTCTAGTACTTCAATATAGACAATCTTTCACATTGTATCTCTTCAATGAAATAGTTTTTACTTCTAGCTATGAAAAATGTTAAACTGCAATCTAATAGTTGAGCTATCCATACCTACCAACTTCTTTTGTGATGATTTGTTCACAAACATTACTTTTGAATTTGAAATGAGTTGATGAAAATTGTTGTACCAGGGGCTTGTTAAACGAGAAACAAGGTTCACATCCAATCGACCTGCGAAAGAGATCCTTTCTAAAATTGAGGAAACTGCAGCACCTTTGGGTTTTGATGTGAAGAAAAATAACTACAAGGTAAATATTTTTCCTTATAAAGTTGATGATGATAAATTTGGAAAAAGAAATGCAAGTTGTGGAGGACATGATGGATACCAATGCCGACTCTTTAGTTTATCAAAGTCATTAACAATTATTTTTTTATGCATTAAAATTTGATTTCCTTCCAAAATTCTGTCTTCTGAGTATATCTTAATCTGATGCATTCCTTGCAGATGAAACTTCAAGGCGAAAAAACAGGTCGTAAAGGGCATTTATCAGTTGCAACAGAGGTGCTTCTCTTTTTACTTCTTTATATTTAGAAGCTTCTATTGTATGCCAAGTATTAGTTGAGTTATGATGGTATTATTTTCAGATTTATGAGGTTGCTCCGTCGCTGTACATGGTTGAGCTCCGCAAGGCGGGAGGAGATACATTAGAATTTCACAAGGTAGGATCACCATTAATGAACTCTTGGTATCTAAGAGACTAAAACATCTGTCGTTAGGTATATGTGATTCCTTAATAAACCTGATTCTGTTCGGTCCAGTGATTTTGACCTTCACATGTTTTCAGAAGTCCATGTGCATTGAATCAAAGCAATTATATATCCCAAGTGAAATGAAAATTATCAGCAACCCTGAAGTATAAGCAATTTTAGAGTCTCTGTAGAAAGAAACCTGTTTAATTGGCTGAGTGCTTTGGGATTCTTTTTAATATTTAAATGTGATATGCCATTGTTTTCAGTTTTATAAGAACCTCAAAACTGGGCTGAAAGACATTGTCTGGAAACATGAAGAGGATGCAGACGAAGGAGATAGTGGTTCGTAATTCGCTCATAAACTTCTGTTTGATTCTTTCGTGCTTTCTTTTTGCACCCTCTAGGTTTATGTGTCTCTTCAGGTATTGTAAATTCACACAGATTTGATATGCATTCTAAATCGACATCTTTAGAACCGACTGTTCGCTATATATTTTAGTGAACGGTAGATAACCAGGATCTGGGTCCAATAGACATACACGCACACATACATGCACATCCAATGCAAAACCAAAGACAAGGAATACAAGAATGAGTATTCTCCCTTTCAATCATCCTCTAATTTTCTCTTGCAAAATGATCTATCCACAAAATAGCTAATCGCCCTCTACAAAGCTCCCCTCCCTCACCATGCACAGCTAATTAGGAGACATTTAATTTCACTTGATAGTATGAGGCTATCTTGAATCTGTGCATACAAATGGCAGCACCCTGCTGTTGTGGCTTGATTATAACATTAATGGTTTTGGTTGAAGAAAAGGAATACAAAAGAATAAACATGTTTCTCTCTATTGCAGGTGCAAGTGCAAGTGTCTCGAAGCCGAGGTAATTATGTTTCTGTGGAAGTTGTTTTATGTTGGGTTGAAGTTTGAGATAGTGGATAATACAGTCATGTACCTTGATTTTAAACTCATATGGTGTTTTTTCTGTCATTTGATTTAGCCAAGAAGTTCTCCCTGCTTACTGACAGCAGCATATTTGAACTCTGTATTGTGGTTCCATCCATAAATAATCAAATATTGTTTCTATACGTGAATAAAGTTTTTGCAGAATAAAATAATATTTGTATCTGTGTTTTATTCATTCTTAATACCATATCTAAATATCTGAACAATGGTAAAAGAGTTTCACTCTGTTCATCTAATCCTTCTCATATCAGAAGTTTAATTTGTGAGAGATTTACTGCCATTTTGTCTTGACAGTTTGTAAATAACACTCTCAAAATTGCTTCTTTCCGGTGGGTATCTTATACGCTCCTAATTTGCTCCTTAGATCCTTGAAGTTTGCCTTAGGTAGTGCTTTGGTGAATATAACAACTACATGATTTGTGGATGACACAAATTTGGTAATTAGGTGGCCACGAGCGACAAAATTTCTGTGTATGGTATGGAAGAACGGATTTTACCATATGTATAGGAGTTGTGGAGGTTTTAGCAGTTGAATTCTGACATCCCTTAGTAAGAACATAATCTAGGTGAGTTCAACTCATGACACCACTGTGGTTTGCTTTGGTAAGCTCCACGATATGCAATTTTCTCTTAGGAATATATATGATTCTGATGTGCTTCTTCTAGTGTTGGGGCATCCTACCCAATCTCCATCAGAAGAACCATAAAGATTCTGTGAACCCTTTTTGTTTAAGATTAAACCATTCCAAGTGTGCCTTTGATGTATTTCGTTTGACTACTTTTAGATCTTTGGATTGTGTTATGGCGATCCATGCTAGTGTGTTGAATCTCTATGCCAAGGAAGTAATGCGAGAGCCTCTCAAACACGGCGATCCATGTTAGTGTGTTGAATCTCTATGAACAAAGAGGGGGAGTAGAGTAAGGGTTAGGCAGTCTTGTGTTGGGGAGGTATTGTGAGAACCTCTCAAACCATGCTGCTCGGTGCCTGCTTCAACTCATAGAGATGAGTAATGAAGCTGGGTGATTTTGTTATTGTAATAGCTTAAATTCACCACTAACAAATATTGTTCGTTTTGGCTTGTATCGTCGTCAACCTCTCGATTTTATAATGTGTCTATTATATCTATATAAAGAATGTTTTGTTCTTTTCTCCAATCGATGTGTGATCTCATAGCTATGTACACCTTCTAGTTGTGGAGATGAATGTAGGCCTCCATCTCTTGTTTCATTGAGCTTTAGTGTTTTCGGTAATCAAAAGCAATTCATCAAAGACCATACGCCAAGATATCCTTTATGAATTGGACGGTAGCCTAATATCAAAGGATACATAACTTCTTTTTTGAAATAACTTTCTTTTTTGAAAACTTTGGTCTTTTTTTATTGTTTTGTCCAAAGGATTTGACCAATTTTACATTATTTAATTTTATAATTATGTTAGATATAAAATTAAAAATTTAAGTTTCTAATTAGAAATATACATTTTTATCAAAAAAAAAAAAAAAAAAAAAAAAAAAA